CTCTTCGGCTAGTTTTGAAAACTCTGCCTTGCCGGACTCCTGGAGGATGCCAATTACCATGCACTCATGACTTTCCAGAGTCCGGCCAACACGTTCTCCCGCCGGACATTCATTGAATTGAGTGGACGCATAGCTGGACTCACAACTAATAAAAGATGAATGAGGGAACTGCAGTTCAAAAGGATGTCCATAATTTTCGTCCCTCATTTAAGACTTTTGAATGTTGCCTGGGGATCTCTGCGCAATTAGTTCCTTTAGGTACTCTTCACTATCGGCTCATGACTATTCATGGGATCCGGGCTGAACAGTCCTTCAAAAATAGTTAAGATAAATGTTCCACTCACTACAGTTATTATTGCTGTTTCTCACATCGTGAAAGATAGAATTATAATAGTAACCCTTTTTTGTAAATTATTTATCTGGTAAAGGATTCGGTAGAACGCTGCTTCATACTGGCGTCGAAGTTTGAATTTAACGCAGTTAAACTTTTAAACTTAGTTTATTCCGTTGAACATTTTTCTTAACCACAGTTCCGATTGATGTAAAGTAAGTCAAAAAATTACCACGCGAGCCAATTAATCATTTGGTTATGGATAAATACAAAATTATAGACATTTGGAAAACAATTGATTAACGATAGAATTTTAATTGTAACACTTTTTTGTAAATTATTTTTCTCGTAAAGGACTAGATAGAACGTCTGATGTTGCTGCGTCATACTTGCCTCGAAGTTTAAATTTAACGCAGTTAAGCTTTTTTAAACTTAGTTTATTCCGTTGAACATTTTTTTTTAACCGCAGCTACGATCGATGTAAAGTAAGCTGAAAATTTACACACGCGAGTCAATTAATCGTTCGGTTATGGATGAATACACAATAATTGACAATTAGAAAACGATTGATTTAGGGTTGAAATGCATCTGCGGTAAAGAAACAAATGGTATAAATTACTATTGATATTTAAGACTTTTTTCATATAAAATTTAGCTAAAGTTGCCAAAACATAATGAATAAGTTAATAAAATAACAAGAATTACGAATAAATAAATAAAAGAACATAAGTATACTTTAAACTAATATTATGCAAAAACATTAAAAATACGCACTGCTAAAAATAAAAAGAAAAAACTAAGTCTGAGAAACAATTAACTACAGGAAGTTCCAAAAGTTATCGTCTGCTTTTTTATTTTCTTTATTTTATCTTGTGCTGTTTAAAAAAAAATATGCTTAACTGCGTTGAATGGGAAATCTGACGCAAGTGGGATGTAGTAAAACGTTTTATGCCTAAAAACAATTTGGAGAGCATAGACTTTAATTAAATTACATACTTAACTTTTTAGAAATATATAAAAAAAATTATGTTACATGATCTCTTTTAATTCTTATGAGAACCTTACGAATTAAATTCTACGGTGTAAAAAATTCCGGATCAAATTCCGATACGAAGTACCGGCACTTCAAGTGAACCATCCGTAAAATCCATTATACTGTAAAATTATTGTTACCGTAAACTAGTATACTATAATTGTTACAGTAATATTTATTTAATGAGAGTGATTCAGTAATTTTACGGTAATTATTTCTGTAAAAATTACGGTATATTAGATTTTTGTTCCATAACATGTTCCGGTAAAAATGGATTTTACGGTAAGTATTTTTTACCGTAATTTATTCTGGAAATTTCTAGAGTACAAAGTATTTTCAATAATAGGTATATAATTAAAGAAATAATTGTATTAAAAAACATGAATAAACGCGCTTATAACGAGTAAGATTTTAAGTTGCGAATATCTGCTTAAAATTATTTTTTCATCTATTATTTTGTTTATTTATTGTTTTGTTGTTAATTGAGGTCGAGCAAAAATTCTCGGTAAACTAATTGAAACTTGCAACAATAAATCAAAGTAGAATAGGGGATAAAAATGCGTGTATGTTAGCCGACTAATAAGACAACTTATCTCTAAGTTTCCATCTAACTATTGGTGTTTCAAAGTAATTTTAAACTTTGACAAGCCAATTAAAGACAGGCGCCAGGGTGGATCTATAACACCTGTTTGGCGCATTTTATATTTGGGGTTTAAAAAAAAAAGTTATTAATTAAGACAAAAGGAAAAAACTCTACAGTTTCACCTCCATTTCAATTAGAATTTTTAATTAAGAAAATTCGATCTTTTAATTGGCCAATTTGAGGTTCTTTTTTAATGAATGTGTCTTCTCTCAACTTTTTGCGCTGAATTAGGCGAATGAAATTAGAAAGAAGAAAGAAGAAGCAAAAAAAAAAAAAAAGGAGTTACTGCCCGTACTTCTATGAAGGAAGTTTTGTGAAATAAAGATGCTGGTTGCAGGGTCGTGGTTTTATGATGTTGGCGTTATAATTAAGGCGAGCTGGCTGGTATTGGCATCAAACTAAGTCTATGCATGAATAGTAATTAATTATGCTTATGGAGTACCGCGTTTATTGGTAAATTAACACGGGCATAATCTAGCTTGAAATAGTGTATTAGCGCAGCCAAGTAGAAAGCTTGAGTACGGTCACAGTTTAGAAAAGTTTTATCTAAAAGAGGAGAAAAGGATCATAATCTCTTCGCTGTGATTATTTTCTCGGTGTCTTTACACTCTAACAGATCTCCATCTTATTTAAGTTCTCCTTTTTTTTTTCTCTCTCTTTTGTAATGAAAAATAATTTTTATTTTCTTGTGCAGTTATGGTGTATTAGTGATATTTTTACTTTAACGCGATTGATTAGAATTTCAAAGTTATAACTAATAATTAAAGAATATGAGCTATATAAATTTGTCGGGGAACTTATTATTATGAACGTACTGTTCTTGGCCAAATTATTCGACGCACTATAAGATTCTATGTAAAGTTTTAATTATCAAGTGATACTATACAGCTTTATTGTTTTTACGCCGCTGAAACAGGTTTGCACTTGTTTACATTCATGTATCAATTGGTTAACATCGTAATACGCTAAAAATTCTAAGTTATCATTTTCACTATGATATATCGTTATAAATTAAGACATAATTTTCACTATGATATATCGTCTGAAATAAAGACAAATTTTCAGTTTATATCGTCATAAACTATCATCTTGTATATCGTCTTAAAGTATATTATTTTCTAATGTATCGTCATGCACAATAATCTTCTATAAATATATCGTAGCAAACTGAGATATCATTTCACAAAAATATCGTTTATAAAATTATTTATATTCTTAATATTATAATATATAAAAATATATCATGAACTAATAAATCATTCTTCAATTTGTCATTTAATACTCATGCTGAATCAAAAGAATTCTACTGATTTTATAATATTATTAATATAGTATTATTTATAAAAATACATCAAGAACTAATATATCATTCTTCAATTTGTCATTTTATACTCATGCTGAATCATAAGAATTCTACTGATTTTATCTCCATTGTTTTCTCTAAAAGCAATTGACGGCGTTTAAGTGAAAGTTTTTATTGTTCTTCGCCATTTAAAGATGACTTGAGCCAGTCGCTTTACTCAAGACCAAACGATATGTTTGCGCAGGTTGTTTTCGGAATGTGATTTCAATCCTTTGTGGCCACCATTAGAAGAAACTTATGTTTATTCTTGCCGCATTCTAAGTGTTCGTAAGAACACCTGTCCTAAGAAAGTAGTATCGCAACAACGTTTCATAAGAACATTTCTTACTTTGTTTGGGCAGCCTGCTTTCAAACACACGATTTCATATCGAATGAGATTTCTGAACGTGATAAACTTAACAAGATTTTGTTATTTTATTTAAATAAACAAGACTCGGAATCTTGCTTTTTTTTTCCTTTTTTCCCACAAAGAATACTTTGCGGTTATACGGACTATGTGTTGGCGACTGCTTTTCCGAGTTGTCGCCAATACGAACATTGGTATACATAACCTATAAATGCCGAATTTTAATATTGTCATAAATTGTCAGAACATATCGATATCTAAGATTATATCGAGATATTTTTACCAACTAATGTAATAATATACTTTTTACAAAAGTAAATATTTTCGTTAACCTTATAAAATTTATCAACATTCATCATAATAACATAATAAATAATTATTCTTATGCATAGTGTTCGTGATTCTATGCGTACGCGGTTATACGGTGTTAAGCTAAAACTTACTGTTTTAGCTTGTCTTACCTTGCGTACCCAAGGTAAAACATAAATAATATAAATTATTATACATAGATAAATTATGCATAATATTAATTATTATAAACGAAGACTAAAACATAAATGGAAATACGGAGAAAAAAACAACATAAAACGATGTCAACATAAAATAATGTCAACATAAAATGATGACAACATTAATGAAAGTGCCCTGCACTGTAAAAACTCCAATTCAAAATGCGATCAAATCCATTTTTACCCGAACATGTTACGGAGCAAAAAATCTGATATGCCGTAATTTTTACTGTAATAATTACCGTATAATCACTTACTCACTCTAAGTAAATTCTGTAAAAACAACTGTAATAACTCTGTAAAAATTATGGTATAATATTTTACGGTAAAAATGAAATTTTCGATAGGATGTATTTTACGGATGATGCACTCAAAGTTTCGGTGTACTGTAATTTGAACCAGTATTTTTTGCAGCGTAGGGGGTTTCCGGACCATGAAATCCGTATTAAACTGGAAAAATGCTATTAAAATACTATTTATCAAATTATGTATGTAAATAGGAAAGTACTCATGTCGTGTATTACGTTTTGATAAATAATATTCCATATTATTTTAATAAAACAAACCATAAAACATATTAAAATTTTGTCCAGTTAAATATGACGTAATTAATAAATTTTTTTTAATTAATATGCAATGGATTGTAATATAAAAAAAAGGAATTCAACACGTTGTTAGAACAATAACGTGGTTTTTTTTCTTTCAAAAAAAGAATTTTTTTTTTGTTGTTCTATTTAATAAACAAAATTGTCCTAATTTATCATATTTTTTTCAGATAATTTCCTGTTTATAAGTTTAGATTTCAATATCTTCATCTTCTAAGTAAGTAAGTATTTTACAAACTATTATTTTCTTCCTTATAATTGTTTCTTCCCCATCATTTCATCATGTTCTATTTAAAAAAAGAAAAATTCCAAATAACAGTTCGTTTAAATTGACAAGATTCGATTTTAATTTATAAGTTTTCTGTTGAGTTTAATCATTCATTTTGCCTGATTAATTGACAGGTTTTGATTTCCAACAGTTTCCATCAAATTGATTAATTGTAGATGGCTATGAACTATTGATTTTAATAAAAAAAAGTTGTCATTAAAATGACAGACAGCGATTTCAGTAATTGTCCCTGTTTATAGAGTAGAAATAGATTACAATGAATAGTTAGAAAATGTTTTCGAGGAACATTTATAAAAATATAAATATTTAGAAAATGAATATTTAATGAATATATTTAGAAAATGATTTTTAAGAGAATTTAAAAAATTATTATAAAGTATATTTAGAAAATAATTTTAACGAATATTTAAAAAATGCTTTCAATGAACAGTTAGAAAAAAATTTCAATGATTAGTTAGTAACTAATTTCATTGAATAGTTAGAAAATCTTTTCAATGAATAATAAGAAAAGGGTTTATTGAATATTTTGAAAATGATTTTAGTGAATATTTAGAAAATGAGTATAAGGAAGATTTAGAAAATGATCTTAACGACTGTTTAGAAAATGATTTTAATAAATATTCCAAAAATGATTTCAACGAATATTTAGAAATTTTTTTCAATGGATATGTAGAAAATGTTTTCCATGAATATTCAAAAAATGTTTTCAAGGAATAGTTAAAAATGATTTCAATGAATAGTTACAAATTGATTCAAAAACTGAATATGGTTAGTTAAGATTTTCAATGAATAGCTCAAATTTTTTTTGATACAAGTTGAGTTCAATGTATAGTTCATATCTATTTGAAAGTAATTGATTTCAATGAATAGTTCGTGATTTCAATGAATAGAATTCCGTTTGGGTCTATTTAATGGAAATTCATTTCAAATAATTGTTCGAAATTCATTTCAATGAATAGTTCATATCTATATGGTAGTAATTGATTTCAAAGAATAGCTCTTATCTATTCCGCAGTAATTGATTTCAAGGAATAGTTCATATTTATTTAATGGAAATTAATTTCAATAAATAATTTACGCCTATTTGACAGAAATTCATTTAAAAAAAAGTTTCCATTTAGAAATCGATTTCAGTTATTATATTTCAATAATAAGAGTATTTATTCTATTATTCGTAGTGATTGATTTAAATAAATAGTAATTAATAAAAATAAAATTACACTTGTTGCTTTCTTCGTGTCATTGTGCAATGGAGGAAAAAAATTGTTTTTCCTGAAATGCAAATATGTGTTGCGAGAAAACGAAACGTTCTAGAAAATGGAGGATGAAAGCAGGCCGAACGAAGATGTATGCAAATGAGGGATGCAGGCGTTGATGGGCAGATGGGGAGAAGGACCTACTTAAAAAGGGTCAAAAGTGGGTCAACGGGGCCTTGAGACGTCATTTCATAGGAAAAGAATAGGTGCAAGGAATCGGTTTGCACCTATGCTGACTTAATCTAATTTGAATGCTGACTTAATCTATATGAATCTAATTTGAATAAACAATTGGTGGTTATCAATTTCAGAAAGTGATTAAACGATCGATTTTGATTGCCCTAAATTTTTATTTTCCTCTAATAAAAAGAAGCTAACCTGCAATGTTTTTATTATTTATTTATCTTATAACCTGGGTTGAACTGCCGACCCAATTCTGAGTTTACGACTATCAGTGTTCAACTAACTCTGTAGCCTTGTAATTTTGAACCTAATCCAGAGGACAAGGGAACTCCTAGATCAAGCATTGGGACAAACTAGCCTGTATTGAGTTTCTGAGAGCATTAACGTTACGTGGAGAGAAAAATCACGAAAACCTCTAATGGTTAGCCTGACGGCCTGGTGATTCTAACGTCAGCACTGTGGCCATTGCGAGCTGGGAGCAGATTTCGCATCAACCAACCCCGGCTGGGATTCGAACCTGGTTAATCTTATTGGGATGTAAATTCTTTATCCAATGAGTCACCGATATGCAATTTTTTTTTTTTGTTGCAAATAATATGTTCTCCAAATTATGTTTAATGTTTCTTCTTTACCCATCCTCCTATCCTACCCTCCCTGATTGCAGCAGTTGTGAAATTATTTAGTTGTAAACTTATTTAATTGTTAAATTGTTTTATAAATGAAATTATAAGCAATATTTTTTAAATTTAATCAAAACTTTTATAAACTTCAATATATTTAAATATTCCATACTTTCGCATTTAATGTGCATATTTTTAGAATCCTTGTCACATTCTAAAGTAAAATTAGGCGAGGAAGATAGAGAAACACATTGTCCAAATCTAAAGAATCATTAATGAGGGAAGTGGGATAAAAATACCAAAATCCATTTGATTATCAGAAGAACATTTAAAAGACAAGACAATTACAAGTTACAAATGATAATCAAACAGGTTTTGATGTTTTCAGTTCCGCCTCTCTCAGTAATGATTCGTTCGATTTCGATAACGTGTTTGAAGTGTCACGTAAATATTAATTTGACACCAACTTTTTCTGATACTTTTTTTACCTTGTTTATGGGAAAGATTAAAACCATTTTCAAACTTATATTTATGCAAATAGGCTTGAAATGTATTTTTTGTTACACAAACGTCCAAAATTATTTGAAAGAAAACGATTTAAAAAAGCTTATATATAATAGAGTAAACTGAAAATTTATTTTTATTGCCGTTTAATTACAGTTTTAGTAAAATACGGCAATGCTAGACTCCTGAAGATTATAAATAATATGGTATGAATAATTTAGAATTATGCAAACGATTATAAATGAAACGTAAAAATTTTAAATGGAATTCGTTCGTAAATTTGTTGAATGAAATGGTTCTCCTTGAGTTGACTTAAACTTTATCTATAAAACTTAATCACGCTTTCTTTAAACATAATATTATCTTAAGACAATCACTAAAGAATAACAGATTGTCTTCGTATTTTTCAAAAGTCTTCTTTAAGGTTCAAAGTAATAGCTCAAGATAATTCTCAGAAAACAAAGTATCTTTTTCGCAACAATAGATTATTTTTAACACATTTTACTAAGTCGTTCTAGTCAAATTTACTTTACGAACGGTACCATAGTTACAAAAAAAATTTTTTTTACACACAGGCAGCTCAGATTGAACTTGTATTTAAAAAACTCAAATATAATAACGAATTCTTAATAATATTTTTTACGGTAAACAAAAAAATAATAGATAAACTGACAATAATAGCTATTATTTATTCATTATTTATTATTTGTTTACGTCATTACCGTTATGCCGTTGCCGTTCAATGTCATTAAGAATGTAAGTAATTTAATTTCGGTTCTGCGTTGAAAAAAATCTGAAAGCAACGTAATGAAATGATAATTGTAAAGTTCGAATAGTGGAGATTAGTTAATTTAGTAGAGGGCATTTAGGAATAACATATTTGTGGACTTTAAACGCATGTAGTTTAGTTAATAAAAATTAAGCAGCTCTAATAATATTTTTTTAAATGAGTCTTTATGTCAATTTACATTTACGCCAATTTTTAGTAATTTTTATAAGTTAAAATTTAAAATTTAAAAAAAAAAAAAAAAAAAAAAAAAATTTTTTTTTTTTNTTTAAGCAAATATTAATTTAAAAAAGCAAAAAAAGATTTTTTTTTTTTTTTTTTGATCACTTTATTACGTTTACTGGTTATCCATTGGTCAAATACTTTTTTTTCTGGTTTGACTCCGATAAACGACCCAACATTTCAAATCATGAGTTGCAAAAACTGTCTCAATTGATGTTTGTCGTCGGATTGGTTTTCAAATCCTGGCTATATACATGTTTCAAGACGTCACAAAATACTTTTCCTTCTTCAGTATTCATATTTATATTAAAATCTCCGTCAAGACAGTAATTATAAGCTAATAATAAAAAGAATACAAAAATACTTTAAATTATTATTATGTAAATACATTAAGAATGACTACTGGTGAAAATAAAAAGAAAAAAAGAATTCTAAAAAAAATTATCAAACAGCAGCGGTCGCCATAGCAACGCATGCAATGACGACGCATGCGCACTATTTACTATTTCTCTTGAACACAGTTGAAAGGTGTCATGACGTTCAAATAAAGTGTGCACGTCATTAAACCCAAAACAAGACGCATTTTGCCAATGGGTAAAAAAACTAGGTGCTACAGATTTAACAGTCAATTTTTAATTTTTAAAAAAAAATTAATTTCTAAAATTGGAGTGCGTGTAAATCACACCGAGGCTTATTTATTAAAAAATTTTTTAGAACTGTTCAAATTTTTCTTAGCTGAGTTATATGCTTTTAAAGTCGGAAAATAAGCACACGTATTACCCTAATAGTAAGTTCATAAAGTTGTTACTTGCTTTTAAATTGCACACAATATTTACCGGTTTAAGTATTTATTATTAGAAAGTTCCGAAAATGTGCAAAAGCACTAAATGAGTTTCCTCAAACATTTTTCTTTTCGTCTTAATATATTTTTTTTTACTTTAACGAAGTACGGATTACAAATTTTTTTATTAATGGTTAATAAGAGCAAAATGTGTATAAGAAATTATTTTCATCAACGCATTTAAATTGTGAAAAACTTAAAAACAATTACACTTAAAAAACTATAAAGATTAGAAAATTAATTATTATTTTTTACATTTAAATTGTGAAAAAGGATAATTAATTTTCCAATTTTTGTAACAATAAGGGGAAAAAATTATAAACATTGGAAAATTAATTATTATTTTTTACATTTAAATTATAAAAAATGATAATTAATTTTCCAATTTTTATAACAATAAGGGGAAAACATAGCCTTCAACAGAGACTTTCTTTTGTTGTCAAGATTGAAAGAGTAATTAACAATTATAACTTAAGAAGCTAAGACTAACTTGAAAGCCTTCTTGTAAACCAGCTACCA